AACAACATGAGCTACCAAACTACCAAAATATTAGTGTTTTATTCAAGCATATCTCAACCCGAAATGTCCACGTATCTGTGTTTAATCCCCCTAAATGTACATTATTTGCCGCGAAGTTAAACGAAAATACTAGAAAGGCATGCACACCACCGTGACGTAGTATTAAAAATGATTAAATTTTCGACTCGCAGCCGTCACTTTTGCGGTAAAGTTCGTCCCGCTAGAAACTCAGTTCAACATTTTTACCGTTTCTGTGGAAGTTAATCCAGTTAAACTGAAATATTACCGGAGAAAGTAGAGGATAATCTTCGAAAGAACAGAAGTTACGCACGAGCGCCCCCCTCCCCCACTTGACGATTCACGTACGACGATATCTAACTTGCCTGGCCAATGTCGACTTGCGATCGTGAAATTACCAGAACAACCGTCAAAATTTCGCTAAATGTTTAAACACAAGGATGTCTACCTGTTATTTTCACGTCTCTATACAGGTTTTGCACGAACGAAGTCAGTATATTACGTATTTTTCATGGCGAGCGCTCGACCGTAGCTAGCGTATAACGTACATGTAGTAAACAATGAGTTCGATCAAGAAATTCGGAAAATGAGCGGGAATTTGTCATTTCTACCGGCTGAAATTAAACCCAAATGCTCACAACAACCTTATCTATTCGTAACACGTATGAATATTTCGACTTTTCACCGTAAAAGAGCGTAATTTACAGAAGAAGATGCAGCACCGCTCGATGCCCCACTGGAATGCAGTGTGTAGGCTAGCTGAAGCATCAGTAGGCGTCTCGTTTTCGTGCAAGATCACGTGATCACGCGCAGCGCCGGGACCGCTTTTCAAAATGGCCGCGGAGATTGGAATTACGTCTATTAACAGGCCAGATGCATATGGCCATGGTTGGTACGCTTGGACCAACCGTGACACTCCGCCCCTGTGGCGTCGCCAAAACAAAACAATAGAAAACAATATAAGTTTTCACTTGTTTAGAGGAGGTTCGCAGCCCCGAGCGCTAGTAGCAACGATAGCTGGGATATGACATATATGGATGATGAAACGTAAGATAGCGACACATTGTATTTGTAAACGTTTTTGCAGAAAGTTGAAAGCGGCATGCTCTTTGAAGCAATGATTGAACGAAGAGGAAGGAGTATAACGTATGCAACCTTCCAAACGTATTCCATAGTCTTCCCCCATGTCTCCAGTTGTTTGAAAACATCAAAACTTACCCCAGAACTTACATAATTTGTTGCTTTTCTTGTGATGACGAAGTTGAGGAGATATCTGCTAATCTTCCGAACGCAGCGGAATCAACAGGAAGTCACTAGACGGAAAGTCCCGAAGGTTACCGAGGATTGCCGAAGCATGTTGCTATGGAGACAAAACATTTGATCGGAACGTTATTTCCGTTTCCCATCAGGCTTTGTGTCCTGGTAGCTGAGCACGGGTCAGCGAAATATTCCTCCGCATTGGTTGCAAACGTAGCCCTGTAATGGAGAAATACAAACAGTAACTTTGACATAAGTCATTATGATAAGTAAAACAGTATACACAGTACATGAATGTATCAGTGGTTTGTTGCGATTAATGAGAAGAACTATTTTTCCTGCTTTTCGAAGGGAACTACTTTTCCTCTCCCATGGATAACAGGGTGTGGTTAGGACATATTAGAACACGGAAGCAGAATTTCTGAGCTGCTGGATTTCATTGACAAATCTGCAAGATGTCGGGTTCTGAACGATCTCACGCCGAGATCGAACCTCACATCACCAAGAAGTACGAGATCAAGAAGAGGCTCGGGAAAGGGGTAAGCACCAGAACGATGCGCTAGAGTCATTTTATACCGTTTTCATTCAACTGCAGGGGAGGACTGTATACGGTGTACCTGTATAAACCTGCAGG